GTGCTTTATAAATGGTAAGTAATATTAAACAAGGGGACGTGGTGTGTATTAGGCAGTAGCACATATTGAGCACTTCTTTTGATAATTTTTTTTTTTCAAAAAGTCAACTTGAAACAGAAAACAAAAAAAAAAATCATAAATAGACTTAAAAGTTTAGAATATCTCCTTCTCAACTTCTTTTGCAACCCTTGAAAGAATCACTTCCTCAAAAAATTACTTAATATGGTAAAATAATTTTCTCTGTCGGATTAATTCAGTTTTAATTTTCTCCGACTTTTACTTTTAACCCATCAACATTCATCCACCCATCTCTTCACTCTTTTGTGTGTGTTGATTTAAGTGTATACTTCAACACCTTCTCTTTTTATGGCAACAAGAATATTTTCCATACACTTCTTCATCTTGTGCTTATAAAACTTGTTCATAATATCTTTCAATGAATTCATTTTATTCATGTTTAGTGGCTGATAAGAGGTTTTTGAACATGAAGAGTTTACTCACTCTAGTCTTATTTAATTTTAACATTTTTGATGTTAATGCTCGGATTGAAAGAGAGCATGCAATATTTTCGTTATAAAAATTGATTCAAAATCATCCCTAAAGTCACACCCCCAAAAGCTTATTCAAAGTCATGACCATATTCTCCCTTTTTAATCAAGAGAGAATTACGATCTAAATTTCAAAATTTTACATAAAACGCAGAAAATTATATTTTTACGCTGTAGCAAAAAGCTCATTTCATTTCCCCTTCACAACTATAATTTTCATTTCATAGTAAATAATTCAGTTTTATTGTTGCAATTTCTTTCAGCTTTTTTTTTTCGTTCCAAATGAAATCGAATGAATAATTTTTAATGTGTGCTTATAAAATTTTATGTTCACTTCCTGTTATTACTTCTTCCTTCACTTCACATGTATGCTCAATATATGTATAGAGAAATTTCACAATTGTTCTTGTTGTTTCCTTCTCTTCGAGAGGAGCAAAAAGGCAAAAGAAAATTACAGCAAGTGAATGAACGAGAAAGAAAGAGAGTTTTTGAATAATACAAAAATGAATTATTATATAGCGTAGGGTGCATTCTAATATATTAGAAGATGACTACAAATTTCCTCTTCCTTCCAGTCTTTAGATGTTAAATTTTATAATAAGGGGCTGATTAGTCTTTAAACTGTCATAGTGATGTTGCGATACGATAATGGCAAGATATGAATGTTATGAAGCTAATTAAGACCAAGATCGACCTTTATGTCACAAATAATATTTTCAAAGAATAAAATCTAATGCTTAAATAAGCTACAGTCATAATTTGGAAAAATGCGCCGTAATCCTACAAGATTGATTAATTTTTTTCCTTTTCCTTTTTGATACATGATGTTATAGCATCCATTCATTTCATATATACTTACTCACTTGCTTGCTATAGAAAAATGAAAAGGAAGAGGGGGAGACAGAGGCAATAATAGAATACATTAAGCGCCTTTATTGCGAAAATATGATAAATAAGTTTTTTGCAGTTATTATTTTCTGAAATTACTTGTTTAGTTCCTTATTTCATTTTTTTTTGTTCCACTCATCGAGTGCAGATGAAATTGGGGATGATGAAGATGAAAATGAATTTTATTCTTTATCTCTTTTGTTTTGCTTTGATGAGTTTCCACTTTAACATCCTAGTAATGATGTATAAAGTCATAAAATTACAATATGATTAAGCTTAAGTTCTAGTTATGGTAATTTAATTGACAGTTGATGATATAATTATAATTTTTGATAACAAACTGCGTTCTTAGGATTTTTGAATTTGGACAAAATTTCCAAACCATCGCTCTTAATCATCTCCAACCATTTGGTAGACACTTTATACTGTAATTTTAAATTTCCCATTCACTCTTTTCTACCTTCATAAATTTTCATCCATAAAAAGCTCGAAATTTAAATTAATTAAGAAAGAGAAAAATTTCTTTATAACGTTTCATAAAATTGCATTTTTTGCTCATATGCTTGTACCTAGTATCCATAAAATTACGTTCATCCTGATAATGAGTGTGTTTGAAAAGAAATGAGGAAGCCGTAAATCATTTTTACTAAAAAAAGCTATTCTTCATAGTTTTTTTTTTAAAAACTTTCTCATTCTTGCTTCTTTCATATTCATGCAACTAAATCATTTAATCCTTGTGGAAGCATGGAGTAAATTTTTCAATGGATCACATTAAATTTCACTATCCCAATATAAATTTCACACATTTTAATCCATTATGTATCCAAAAATTATAACATAATTTGATGTCAAGGAACTGTCCCACTTTTTTCGACTCTTTTCTTTACTCCAACTCAACATTTCATGAAAATTAATTTCTACCTCATCTCGAGATGATCACATTTTAATTCACAAATATCCCCACCTACTCCTCACACATACGTGCATGTATATATTAAGAAATGTGAGAAGCTCGTTATAAGGAACAGAAAAAAGAAAGTAATAGAATTTAATGACAGAAATAAAAGCGAATGTGATATGAATTTTCCATTTTAATTTTGTCGCAAATGTGACAGTTCATATGAAGCTTTACATGTTGTTAGAGGGGGAGGAGGGGTTCAGGACGAGAGCGTATGAGTTACAATTTAATATATTTTCAGAACGTGAAAGATCTTCTTAATTACCAAAGGGTTTTGTGATGAATAAACTTGATATGAAGTCCTTGCCATCCTATTATTTGTGTATTGACGCATACATCCACACATTTTCAGTGTTTTTCTTATTTATCTATGACTGAAAATGAAGTGATAAATTTCTAATTATTTCACCTTTTATGACATCTACATATATTCATCCCTTTTTCAATCATTCCGTAGGAGACATAAAACCAAAGAGACAAGTTTCCAGTGACTGCTAATTAATGTCGTAAAAATGGGGTATATGTGGTTATATGAGATTTTCTTCATTTCCATCTTTATGAGGAATGTATCGAATAAGATGAAGACTTTTATGACATATAATTTTGAATGATTTTAGATTGAGGCAAAGAAAAGGTCGATGAGAAGATTTGTGGGGAGCATTATGATATGATAGTGAGGGTTGAAGGTAGATGTTTGATTGATTTTTTGGGTTTAATGAGTTTTGAATAGGCATTTTTGTTTGGGAAGGCTTGAAAAATCATAGCTATATGCTTACGTTTAAAATCTAAAACTGTATTTAACAGAAAATTACACGATTGCCACATCCAAATACCAAAAAAATATCATCACAGCTCATAAAAATCTTTTTATTTCGTCACGAAAATCATATTTCATCCCCCACAAAAATCAATGAGTCAAAAATATTTCTCTAATCAACCTATTTTTATGTGGCAATTCCTCATCGAGTAGCTAAAAGAATTTTTATCAAACTGAAATAATATTTATGTCTTACCATAAACACACAACATATCTCATTGTACATAATATACACAGGCATGCACACATTCAACGAAGTCACACTGAGCTATCATAAACAATGTGTGATATTCTTTATGCTGTATAAAAAAATTATTAAAAAATTCTCATCACGTTCACGTCTCATCCTGCTCTTCTTATTTCTTTCATGTTCCTTCCTTTGTTTTTCTTTCCTTCGAGGTTTTCCTTCTTTCATGCTTTCTTTTTTTTTTGACGATACTGATGTTTGACGGTAAGCAATGATATGCTTAATCTACTTTTTTCAATCTGTACTCAGTGTTTGAGTGGAATTTTTTTTTCTGTACGGGAATTTTCGAACAATTGAAATGGAAATATTGAAAAAAGAGAGGAGAGGAAGCATGTCTGGGGTGGGATATTTGAAAAGAATGATTGATTTTCAGTAAATCGAATGATTTACAAAGCTGAAAATTATAAAAAATTTATGATAAATTATCTCAAATTTTGGACCTAGATTCACGAGTAAGTCAACAATTTTGAAACATCGTCGTAGAGAAACATCCACACTCCGTTAACAGTTGTGAAAGTTTCCATCCCTTTGACAACAAAAAAAAATCTGAAAAATAAACAGAATTGATGTCAATTTCACAATCATAAAAATCAATCAATTCTTAGAAGATTGAGGAAATAGATCCACATCCATTTTCAATTCTCTAAAATGTGACCAGAAAATGATTTAATGTAATTGCAAAAATCCATTAGGCATCGTCGACTTAAGCTTTTGTTATTAAAGGTACAAATTATTTCACAACATTTACACGTACTGTCGAGTCATTTCAGACTCTAGTTATTATGCCAATTCAAGAACGGTACAGTGAGTGTACAAACAAAAGAATTATGGATAATTTTAATGAACATCATCAGCCAACACGTGACTTGATTCGATAATTTTCAATTTTTCTCTTCTTCCTCTCTCTTCAAAATAATTAGCTGCCACATTAAGCGCTTTCTGCTTGCAGTCTGATATTTTGCCATTTAGTATTCAAGTCAAGGATATTTACAACAAATATATACAAAGCATAATAATAGGAGAAAAATGGATATAGAGCGATGGTAAATGAGTCTGAGAGGATGTAAAACTTCTGTAGTTTTATTCATTAAAGTACAATAATACTGTTTAAGTAGTTAAGCCATTCTCTTTCAATTATCATTCATGCTGTTAATTTTCTACTAATTATTGTTAATCGGCATCATTTAAAGGTACTTGAAGAAGACATCTTGTCAAGGTTGGGAGGATTAATGAGTAATTTTTTTAATAATAATTTTTTGAATCCAAGTCTGCTGCTTAAGAATCTATTATACTTTAAAATAATTGATCTGATTCAATATAAAGATTAAACACGGAATGTACATCATGCATTCTATTATCAATAGTAAACAGTCGTCAAAATTATTATTTTCTTCTTTCTCCAAGAACTTTCTTATCAAAATCATTTTTTTGACCCACAGTTCGACCCCATCATTTGCCGTGACATCTTCTCTTTTAATAAATTTTGAGAGATTAAAATTTCACTATTTTGAGGAACCAATACATTTCAGTTTTGATTGGAATGTGAAACAGTAAACATGAAGCTCGTATCATTTGTGACTGTTGTTTGTTTATTTATTGGTGCTGAATCATTTTTGATGTTTCCATGTAGTCCTAGCTACTTAATTGGTAAATATATTTTTTGAGGATATTCAATTTTGGATTTATGATTACAATTGCTTTTAGATTTTTTCTTTAAATCCTACATTCCAAGACGCTTACAATCTCATTATGAAAAGGATCTAATGAAATACGCTATTCCTGGGGAAGAATGCAACAGAAAATGCACTCAAAATGACCAAAAAGTTTGTTATTTCAAATTTACTCTAGAATATTATCAAGTCATGGGCGGTGCATGCAACAATTGCTTAAAAGGAAACCACACTGACTGTTTTCATACTCAATGTGTAGTTGGCGATGGAATCGAAAGAACATTTCTTGCTGTCAATCGTCAACTGCCTGGTCCAGCTATACAAGTTTGTCAAAATGACATCATTGTTGTAGATGTAGAAAATGAATTGGATGGAATGGCTACAACAATTCATTGGCATGGCTTTTTGCAAAAAGGAACTCCATATAGCGATGGTGTTCCATTTTTAACTCAATGTCCAATACAATTTTCATCAAAATTTCGTTACACATTTTATGCAAAAGAATCAGGAACGCATTTTTATCATTCACATGCAGGACTTCATAAAACAAATGGACTTTATGGAGCACTGATTGTACGCTCAAAGCCATTAGAGAATTTATATGATTTTGACTTTCCCGAATTTTATATTTTTTGTGCTGATTGGATGCACGAGTATGCTGAAGAGGTAAAATTGAGTTTTAAATATTTCTGAAATCAGCAATTAAAATTTTTTTAAAAACTTTTCAGTATTACCCCGGATTAGCATCTAAATTGCCCATAGTTCACTCAATCCTCATCAATGGACACAGTAAATTTTTGAATGTAAGTCATATTGAGTTAAAATGAGTATCTTTATCTTAAATCTTAGTGACAAAATCTATATAAGTTACTCAAAGATCCAAATATCAAACACTTCACAGTCAGAAAAAAAACCTCCAAACATTTAATGAAATTGAAAAACATGAAATCAAACCAATCGCTTAAAATTGGAAGCACAGGAATTATTTTAGTCAACCACTAAAGCATTCAACATAAACGAAATTTCCTTAACAAAATTGTATTAAAAACTTTTTAATTGATTTTTCACCAGAAAACCACAATGAAGTACTCGGACGCACCGTTGACACTGTACAACGTCCAACCAAACATACGTTATCGCTTCCGTATTATAAATGCAGCATTTAATGTTTGTCCATTCCAAATACAAATTGAGCGACATAATTTTACAATAATTGAAAGTGATGGCGAACAAATGGAACCAATGACTGTTGATACTTTATATTTTCTACCTGGCGAGCGTTATGATATCACTGTACATACAGTTCATGAAGTGCGAGATTATTGGATTCGAGTAACAACATTATTCCCATGCATAAATACAAACACAATTGAAGGATTTGCAGTTTTAAGATACCACAATAAAGTAATGGATGGAATGAGAAATGTAAATGTTGAGTTTGTTAGCAATACTCTACCATTATGGAATGAAAGCTTTGCAATAGGCAAAATGTTCAATACACCGCAACCAACCATTCATGGAATTTCTGTTGCAGAGACTAAATCGCATAACGCAAAGGAAAATTTCATTAGCTCAGCTGCTGATCAAATATTTTATTTAATTTTCGATACACCACTTTTCAATAATGAAGTTCTCTTCACGTCAAAGAAGGCATTCAAGTTTATGGGTAAGAAGTGTCTTGTTAATTTTCTTAGCGGTTTTTGGTATTTCTGATTATAGGATTTTTGATTGATTAGAGGATATTGAGCTGGTTTATGCTTGTTTAATTATGAAAACTGAATAATTTCATACCCGAGTAGCACATTCGCAAATACCAAAATTACAACGCTGGATCACTGATGATGACACAATGACACATGAGATCTTAAATTTATCTCAAAATTCAATAAATTAAATTCTATTTTCAGTTGCCGCAGACAAGTTCAATCTCAACAACGCCGGTACAATCAACAATATCAGTCTCATGACTCCACCATTTTCACTACTCTCACAAAAGTCCATCTACAATGAATCAATTTTTTGTGATGTAAAAAATTTGAAGAATGCAAATTGCATTGAAAATTCATCAGTATGTCAGTGCATTCATAGGCTGAAGGTAAAACTCGGATCTATAGTTGAATTAGTGCTTATTGATCTCAAAGATCCATTTACACATCCATTTCATCTGCATGGACATAAGTTTTATGTAATGGATATGGGAATACTTGATAAAAATGTGTCTATTGATGAAATTCTGAAAAATGGAATTGAAAAACCGAAAAATTCTAATGAAAATCCACCACTGAAAGATACAATTCAAATTCCAAATACGGGATATGTGAGAGTTAAATTTAAAGCCAACAACTTAGGCTTCTGGATTGGACATTGCCATTTTGACTTTCATTTGTGAGTATTTAAAATTTCTTCAGAGATTCAATTGACTGAAAATTACTCAAATCCTCATATACAGAGCACTCGGCATGGCTGTCATCTTTCAAGTAGGTGAGCTCAGTGAAATGAAGAAAGCGCCCGATGGCTATACCGAATGCAACAATTTCATGCCAAATCAAATTGTATAATTCATTTAGCAATAAATTTTAAATGATTTAACCTCCCGAAAAAAAAAGTTCATTTCGTACTGTTATTGCTTAAACTCGAAAGTCATGTGAGACATGCATACAATAAGAGAGTGAGAAAAATTCATTTCAGAGATTGCTATCACGTACATAATGCTGCTCACGATAAACAATTTTCAACTATAAATCGCTTCACATTTCCTTAAGTATAAAATTATAGACTAGTAAGAATGAATTTTCATTGTGATTGTTCTTCTGCCTTTACAAAAATGAAGCTTAGTGTGTATAAACAAATGTGTATACTGCATGTACATAGATAAGTACGAAATGATTATGTAAGTGTAGTGCTTTTGTGCTTTTTATAAGGTAAATTTTACAGGATAGATGTGAATGGAAATTGATCTTGTTTGATATTCCATATTTTGCAGACCATTCAGACAAAATCCAATTATTACCTATTTTTTCACAAAATTCAGCTCCAAATCATAGAAACAGGATATAAGTAGAAAGAAGGAGAAACAAGACTGAATGAAGGTAAGGAGGAACGACGTTAAAACAACAATAAAAGATTACAATTGCTTCCTTCCCTTCTGTTTGTGGTCGCTTTTTGTAAATTGCAATATATGCAATGCTGTAATGGATTAATATGAAGAAAAACAAAATATTCATCACGTGAGTACACTTTATGCACTTCAGCATGTCAGAAATTGTTTTCATATTTTTTTATGATTTATAAAGAGTGATTTTTTTAATGCTCGAACTTTTTAACCTATAAACAAACCCCTAGTTTTTGTGTTGCTTTACATACTCGTGCATGCACGCGAGACATTCATATTTTTATTTTATTTTTGGTTGTAGAAAAGTGCATGAAAAATTATGATGAAGTGGTTTTTCAATTTAAAATGATTTTACACCTGGCAAATTAATGTCGATTATGCACACCTTTAAGGTGCAATATTTATTTTTTGTTTTTTGAATTACATGCACTCCGTGAACTTCATGAAATGTTAATGGCGAAAAAATTAATAGTGAATGGTGGAAATTGAGTGACTCCACTTTTCGAAGCACCCAATTTTCATAATGTATATCATAGAATCATGTATATCAATAGCACTAACTTGATTTTGTTTAAATGCAGTCATTATGTTAAAAATTATGCAAAAGCTTCGACGAAAATAAAATGCATCAAAAATTTCATTCTTTATGAATGATTCACAATATAGACGTGCATACATAATGAACATGCCACAACAATAATGATGATAATGTAACTAAGGAAGATATAGAGACATTATAAAGACAATGGAATCATGAATTCATCCTTAATGTAGTCATCATAATATCTCAAACCACGACAAATGATGTTCAATGTCTGCATTATTATGCAACAGGAAAATTTTATTTCCGCATGGCTGAGAGTTTTGTTAAATATTACGGTGAAATGATTGCGATAACTTCCCTTACTGCATCTTAACAAATAATAACTTTCTTCTGGATGAGAATTTTTTTATTGGATATAACCACGACTGGAATTAAAAGGATCTAAAACTTCCATTCTCGTGGTATGGAGATTGTTTTATAGGACTTTATTGAAATAGTTTAGTGAAATTGTGAGCTTCTTGATTATTTTATAGAATATTTGTTGAATGCTAGACTGATGAACGAGAAATGAGATTGAGATTATTAAGACTCTGATGAAACTGTACAGTTTATTTATTTTCGTAAAAATTCTTTAATTTTGTGTCAAATAAAATTGTTCAAAATAACGAAGCTTCAAAATTCAAAAATTAAACTAGATTTTCAAATACAAATTTACCATGGACCTTACGAGACAAGCTTCAACCCCCTTCATTACAAAGTTGTACATTATATTCTCCTATTCATTCGTCTATCTATCTTGTTAATTTCATTACAGACACCCCATCTCCTATCCTCTATTCATTTTATTACAAAATAAAACACAAAAAAGTAGAGGAAATAAATCCAATTTTAAAGTCAAACACAAGATTGAGTGAACAAATTATTGGCAGAGAACAGCATCAAGCGGCAGGAAAAACTTGCACAACAATTTTCCAATTAATATTCAAAAGTAATAAATTAAAAAAGTTTTCCTCTCTTTTTTTTTCACAGAGTTTTTTTAAGAGGATAAAAAGGAAGATGTTGCATTGTTGTTGAGGACTTCTCGCCCCTTTTTGTTACAATAAATATATATGTGCGGCCGAAAAAAATCTCAAAGGTCTCCAGCTGCCTTTAATATGATCAATAAATCAAGGTATATTAGAATCATCCAACTCACTCCAGAAATCTCTTCAGAGATACTTCGTTTAAAGAAAATAAAAGATTGTGAAGGAAGTGTGGCCCCTTTATAGGATGACAATTAACTGTCGATTTATGTTTCTCGTCTCTTTTTTTATGGAACAGAAAAAAGGCATAAAAATTACTCGAAAATTTTTCATGACCTTTTCGAATGGAGAATCAATATACATGAGTTTAATAAAAATTCCTCATTGAAGATGAGGCAAGAAGGGGACAAGTATTTAAGAGGATGGCAAAATTTAATAATTTTTTATGGACCTTGTTATCTATACGAGGTTATTTAAGGGATTAAAGATTTTATGGCGATTTTGTTGACAATAAAATTTTTGGGGATTGATTAAAAATGTTTTGGATGATGGATTTATAGGAGAATTAATGGATGATTAAGAATTTTTCTTCTAAACAGCCTTATTTATGAGCTTAACATACCGAAAATCAAATTTTGTAGTAAAACTAAAATTTAATCTTAATTCCCGTAAAAATTCTATTCATGCATCCATTTTCCGACATTTAATTCCAAACAACTGAAAACAAAGCTAGCTCAAATGTATTATGGTATTAACATTTGAAGAATTTCCAATCCTTATCTCATTTCATTGTAGCTTCAATTCTTCAATATTCCATTACAGACGATATCTTATTAAATATTAACATCATTACATACGTGATTTCATTCCTTTTATTTTGCTGTATTCCGTCACATGCCAAAAGATAAAAAGTAATGTGGATGTGCATGGATGTTGAGGAAAAAAAAAACTGAAAAGTTTCAATAACAGTTTATCATGAGAAATGCATTATGTGTAATTTGAAACAGCTTTTCACATTTGATTCTTATTTTACAATTTTTTTTTATATTTTATTGCAGATTTTCAGCAATGAAAGTTAATGAATCATGACTGTGTATGTCGTATCGGAAAGTAATTTTCTGATCTCTTTGAATAAAAAAGTTTTCATCCTCTTTTTACATGCAAGACTTCAGAGTTGAACATTTGGCTTATTTGTGAAATTACAAAAATCCAAAGAACACCAACACTGAACCTGCAAAGCTCTTCATCCTCTTTTAATCTTCAAAAACAAAACTTTTCTGTCCTTTGAAAATAATTTGAATTCTGAATGATTGAATGAGGAGCTTTTTGTCATGCACAGAGACAAATTGACTGAAAAGGTCGGATAGAAGAACATTTTATATACGATATAATTTCCTTTGACATGATGTTTTGCTGTTGCTGATCGTTTGAATAATGATTTTGTTATATAACAGATAGAGTATAAAGGACGAGTGAAGGATAGAAGCGCATACGTTTTTAAACTCTTTGAAACTTTTTGCCTCGGCATTAAAGGAATTCAACATAATTTAGCAAATTTTGACATCAAACCACGCTAATAAATGTTCCAAACACGATCAAAATATTGACAAATAAAATGCTCATGACATTCAATAAATCCACAATATTTATTTATTATAAAAATATATTTTTGAACTCAAACAATGCAAAAAGAACTACAAATAATTTGTTTAGTGACGATCAATATCAATCATCGTTGTGTCAATTAGTTTTTCATCAATGTCGGTGGTGATTTGTAGTTTAGTGCCAGAACCAAAATATGATGAAACTAAATGGAAAATTTGAGTAAAGTTTTGCCGCAATTGAGCACATTTTTCCATCATTTGAATTCTTTTCTCGGTCAAAATGGAAATGTTCATTTCCTTTGCGGATATTCCTCTCATTAAATTTCTATGAACATAAATGTCGTGATTCTTGATGATTCTTTTGAGAATGTCTGACGTTGATATGCCGTCAGTTCGCTGTGTCGGTATAAACATGTTCTTGTCTTTGACCATCTTGTAGATGTCATTGCCATCACTAACATATGGTGATGAGTCTTGTGCAACAAAATCGATTTTATTTTCATGTAAAAATTTCTCGGTTATAATCCATGGGGCATCCTTCAACACCTCGTCTACATATCGACAATGACGAATTGCTTCATAACGTTCAGTGTCTCTTAATACAGTTACTCCCTTTTTTGCATGTGTCATTTCATCGTTACAGCATCCAACAATTAAATAAACTTCACATTTTGGGAAAATATTTTTTGCTTGCATCATTTGTCGTGCATGGCCCTGATGGAATAAGTCATAAATTCCATCACAATAAATTCGCACCTTTCGATTTACACTTCCACTCTCAGCCATTTGAATTGTGATTTTTTCATTGTAGTTGGAACTTTCACGTTCGATGACTGCTTTTTGGTCAGTTGAATATGGTGCTGGTTTACAATTCATGATGAATGATGGTGTTTTGAATGGTTCCAATCAATTTTTTGAACTTGTATGAAAATATATAACTTTATTGTCTGAATGAATTTTTTTTATTCAGAATGATTCAATGGTTCTTGAGGTTTGAAATTGAATTAAATTTGATATTTTTCCATCGACAATGTGATAGTTTTTGGAACATTTCTGATAAGATGTGGATTTATCAAACTGCTTAATCATTTAACTTATTCTCGAATTCTTTCGTTTGGATTGAAGCACGCAAATTATATTCAATTGTTTTAAATCCATTAAAATTTATTGCTCAATTATTGATAAAAAAACATGAAAATTAAATTTTATTAGAGAAACATCAAAAACATCCATAAAAATCAATGCCTTTAAATTTTAAACTACTTCAATTCACACTGACCTAGCTAGCAAAACCGAATAATAAGCAATTTTAAAGATTTTTATCTATACATCATCAAAAATCATGACAAAGAGTCTTTATTACCTTATTCCCCTTATAGTTGGATGCATTGCATGAAAATAAACTTCACAAAGAAATAGCACACAAAAAACAAGAAAAAGGGAAGAAATGAAATGAAACATTTCACGCCTTCGATTTTCCTTCACTCACTTCATTGTTATCTCGCCAAGCACATAACTATATTTATTTTATTTTCAACATACACAAAAGGAGTGCAGGAGATGAAGAGGAATTCTGTATGTGTTGATAAAATATAATGCCCAATTTTATGTCTAGCACATCTAGAGCATTATGTTTTGTATACAAAACAGTGAAGAATAAGATTTCAGGAGGGAAATATATTTTCTTTCTGTTGATTTCACCCTCCTTCCATGAAGTAACAAACAGGAAGTATGAAAAAATCACACGAATTTTTTTTGTGTCTACAGTCTTTTTGATCAAAAAAAAGTAACATAAAGAAGACGTTGTAATAGAATGAGAATGAGAAGCATCCATGAATTGTATAAAACGTCACGTTGCACACATAAAAAGTGGATGTGTAAAGTGTAAGTAAAATTGCTCCCTTGATTCTTAAGTGATTTCAATGTTTCTACTTCCTTCTTATGTAACACATGAATATGTCTTGATAAATGATGATGCCATGTCATATTTAAATCCACAAATCTGACAAAACAACATCCAGACACACCAGTCCGATTTAATATTTCTTTCATTCCGGTTTGTTTACTTTAAGTATATTAAAGGAGATGATTTGATTTTGGTGATTTGTTTAGTTCCTTTAATTGTTGATTTTAATATTGATTTTATTGTGTCCTAAACCTTACTATATCAGTGATTAATCTCATTGTTAAGAAATAAAAAGTTTCAATAATTGAAAGCGCTGAAATGCCAGCAAAAAGTCCTAAGATTCCTCCTGCATACGAAAAGAAGTCAACGTAGTTATACTCTTGAAATCGAATCAATGCAAAATATTCACTGTCCTTCCATCTCATTTTAATTACTGAATTCCTGCTTGTCGAATTCAATTTGCTCGTGTGAATTTCGTAAGTATATTCAACGTTATTGCACAATTGTAAGCAGTTACAGACTCCGTGGGACTCAAAGAGATGATCATACTTGCTAGCTTGAAAGAAATCAAACTTATTAGCACAATTTGCATGACTGTATAAATCACAAACATCCATTGACGAGTTTCGAACATAAAAATAAGGTATGCATGTACATTCATCGTAGACTGTTGTTAAATAAGCAGAATAAATCATATTAACAATATTCAAATTTAATTATCATGATTCAAATGCTCACCAACATAGGACATGCATTCAAGTTCACAATTTTTCTGTGTGTAAATCTTGAAAAATGTAAGTTTCCGTTCATTATCGAGATAACATTTTCTAGTTCCGATATCAAATGATTTTAAACTTTCGTCAACTTTAATAACATTTGGCATCAATAAGATATTAAAAATGCTTTTCTTAATGATTCCATCTTGATGTGTGTCTCTTGGCAGCTCATTTGCAGGATGTAAGAAGAAAAAGTTTTCAAAAAGGTAATCCGTATTCCTTAAAAATAAATAGAATATGAGGCCATAAAAAAATATAAAATATCACTTTATATTCACCAAATGTTAAACTCAATGCTTAATTCATTGTTTTCACCTAAAGCAGTTTTGAGTGGAAAATTTAAGAATTCCTTACTATCATAAGAATAGGCGAAATCTTTTGAAATTCTATAAAAAAAAAGAATAAAAAAAGGCACAAAGTTTGAGAAGCTTGAACTTACGTCTCATTATGAAAAAGTTGTTCAAAGTTCATCAAATTAAAAGCAAGTCCATACTGAAAATGTGTTAAGACATGTGCAGATGGTATTTTCTGATTATTCAATGTTGAATGATATACTTGAAATGGTGGATCGTCCAAAGCATCATATAATTTTAAGTATTCAACAAGATCTGAAGTGGTTTTGAAATCAAGATTATGTTCGTACGTTGATTTTTGTGGTATGTAAAATGCCTGATCCTGAAGATTTTTCATATAAATTTTATCACTTAAATCAAGCATACTTTTGTTTTGATGATGTTGTCTATCGCGTAAGTAAACGTATCTCATTATGGTTATTGCAGGAAGTGGAACCTGTCTAAGATCCAATTGTGTTTGTTCCCATTTCATCACAATATTTTTGTCTTGAAACTTTTGATAAGCTTCTTGCATCATCAAAGCTGATATAGTTATTGAAGACAGAAAAAGAGCTAACCAAATTATTCTAAAATCACTTAATTAGAACAATGAAAATGGCATTAGATTTAATGGACAAACCTTTCAATGAAACTCTTTCCATCACCACCAATTTGGTTGAAGCTATGAATTGAAGATTTTTGGAGCATTTTCTTCATAAAATTTAAAACACGAGAATTAGCTAAAGACTCGGTAAAGTTCTTCTTTCTGCTGGTTAGTGGATATACTCTTGAATTGCATTGTGTGAGCATTTTTATAGGCGCGATTAAAAAATAATACAATAATTCAGCAACAGATAGAAATGAAAATCCAGCAAAGAGGCCCAAAAGCCCACCAACAAATGAAAAGAAATCAGGAATCGTTTGACTTTTCTTCCTTCGAGTTGCCAACACAGATTCTACGGCCATTCTTATTTGAAGTCTTGCATTACTGTTGAATCTGATGACAAAAAAGTTATAAACAACAAATGTATTTCATATATCTATAGATAACATACAGCATTTCGTGATTTTCTATTGTTTGTAACGACACTTTATACTTTAGATTATCACAAGAATCATAACACTTGCAGGTAGTTCTGTGATCTTCAAATTGCCTTTCAGCGTCTCGAAAACATTTTTCATCAATTATTCCACAAATTTTTGTTTCTGGATTTCTAGCCATAAAGAATTGAACACAACCACATAATTTAAGTGTTAATGTAGCTAGGCATTCATGCTCGCAGTTAACTTTGTTGTATACTTTAAAAAAGTTAAGTTGTCGCTCTTCATTAAGATAGCAATTACGGCTATAATTACAAAATGTAATAATAGAAATTAAATTTAAGAACATTAAATAAACTTACTCATCAAGATTTTCACCAATCAATGAGTTGTCAAGCTTCGATATTTCCGGAGTCACAGTTAAAACCATCAGTTGATGATAATTTACAGTAAATTTGTTGGTCTGTATTGATACAATCTCATATGGATCATGAATTATAAAGTTTGCACCAAATTTTTCAAAGATTGGGACACTGCTCTTGAAATGATTATATCCCTCTTTTTGTTTGCAAAATATTAAAAAAAAAACAGCAAATTAATGAAATCTATGCAGCTTTAAATCATCTTAAGTCAAGAACCTTCAAAATCATTGTTCAAAAAAAAATATTTCAAAGCTTTTTTGAAACCTGAGATTTTTATTAGAAGAATAATTTCTCAATATTTACCTCCTGCAAATAAACTACAATTAACATAGAAAATTGAAGTTTCAAGAAACAACCCGTCTTTATGTGCTCTTACTGGATATGAAATATTATTGCACTGTTTCCATGTTCCTAAACTAGTACCACGTGGTTGATAATAAGTCAACAGCTCTGTTGCGGCGTCATGCATCAAATCAATGGATCTATAAAAAATGGATTTAAAAGCTTGCCTTACTATATCTGTTACATACATTTTCTGATTGTACACGTTCTTCAGTTCTGGAGAATTAAATGTGAAGCATGGTCCATATTCAGTTACAAGTCGTTTTAAAAATACAGCATATTTATTTGCATAATGTCCACGGAAATTAGAAGGAGGTGCTCTTAATACTGGACGAACGATTTTTGTAAAATATTCGTACAAAAAAAAATCTGTGAATGTCAGGTTAAACTCATAAAACTTGTCCATGAAATCATCTGTTGGAATTGAAAGTGATGGAAAGTTCTTTGACAAAAAGCCATCGCGTGCAACTAAACTCACAACTTGCAGCAATTTCAGCTCATTTATTTGTAATTCAATGATATTCCGCTCATGATTCTCTAGCTGTGATTTTATCACGTCATAATCGATAACAGTCTGACATAGAGTTTTGTATATTAACCCTGGACACATGGAAACTGCTGGAAAGTTAAGATCCTCAATTTTTACAACATTTTGGTCTGTGTATATAACTGTTGGATTTTTCTGACTCTCCAAAATTATTTTTCGGATCAAGATTCCTGTTAAAGAGAACGATATGAAAATTGAAAAAAACCAAAAGATTTTTTCAGCTTTGTGACGTTCTGGATGAACAATGTAAACGAATCCATGAAGATTTGTATTTTCACAAAAAGTTTTAAAAATTTTAATCAACATTTTTAAGTCTATATGCGTTGATTGATTTATTAAAACTGAAAAGTATTTGGTCTAAAAAGTTTTGTGAGTGAATTTTTAAGTTCCTAATCACGCTATTTTGATAATCATTATTATATTTTGCATGTTGGATTAAAACAGTAGCTTGTTTCCAAATGAGGTGACATTAGGTGGAACAGCTAGACGTATTGTATCACTCAATAAAAAAACAGATACTTCTCGACCGTACACATTACAAATTACAACACCGTAAGATGTCAGCACCAAAGCACTACAGCACTATACGCAAAAATGACAATATTGACATTAATCGAATTGTTGGTAGCACGATAGAGAAGGGGGAATAAAATAAACTGTTATAGTGAGTGAGATGGAGATAGTCGAGTGAAGGAAATGATAACACAGGAAATTAAAAACCATAAAATTGAATAAACATTTCATTGAGCATTTTTTTTTGCCTCATTCATGAATTTATTGAGAGATGCTGCTCGATTTAAATCAATAAATTTCAACAATATTTTTCTGGTAAGTGGTTAAATTATTAAATTGTGAAATTAACGAGAGGAGATGTTCAAGTGCCATTGTCAATATTTTCATGAATTAAAGAGTCAAGCACTCAACCTCAGATGTAGCTGAAATTCTCATGACAATAAATACCGAGCTGGAAAATTCACATGTCTAAAATGCTTAGGATATAAAAAGAAATTTTTGGCAATTGAAAAATCTCATGTGTCAGTTGAGTTTTCTCATTTTAACGCATGTCAATGTGAATACATTTCAGCATCTATGAATTCAATTCTGAGGCAAATTTCTGTTATCGATAGTTCAATTTTGTAAGCTGCAAATTTGAAAATGGATTCAAATATGCTTTCAGATTGACTGTTTGGTAGTTTTGATGGTTATAAGTATTCTTTAATAGAATGAAACTGAGGTTTTAAGTTCTAGAAATTAATCCGAAAAATGTTCTTACTTATTTCTTTCCGCAAATTTACCATCAAAACTTGAGCATAAAATTTTTTAACCAAATTTTTCCTCCCACTCACATGCTTCCATGCAAAACAATGCTTTCAATAAGCATGAACCTCAACATTTACTTCTAAAATGAGCATATGGAAGGAGATAAGTAAAATTTTTCAGCATCATCCCAAAATATTTTTTTCCAATTACAGAATTTCCGAAATACACACGAACCACTTCTGCTTTCGATATTGATTTTCACTTGATTAGAAGCACAAAGGACGTAACATCATCCAGTCAGGCAGGCAAGGAATATAGAAAATGGATTGTTTGCAATTAAGTGTTGCGGTCGACACGAGAGTAAGAGACTTACTCAAAGGAATTTAATGAAAATTGGTTGGAAATAAGGAGGAAGCCGGAAAAAATTATTCAAATATTTACAGTGAAAATCATTGGAGGTCGGAGGAAAATGAGGAGAATATGACGATGTGGAGTTTGGATGTTAGTTTTAAGAGTGAAACTTTTATGGACGAACATGCTCATGAAATTCTACTGTTAATTGCTTTAGTTCTATATCCAGTCATTGGTCATTGGCTTTAAATTTGAAAAAAAAAAATAGACAAAAAAACTCAATCCCTCTTTTAAATATCACTGCCGACAAATCCAAATGATACTCGAACATTTTCCAATTGATATTTTATTCATAGACATTTCCACAAACTTCAACTCAACACAGCACACAAGACAATCATCATGGGACTCATAAACGTTTATTTACTTTATTTTAATACAAAAAGAACAACACATTGCGTTCAACTGAGATTGCTCGAAATGTTATGGCTTGTAAATGGTATTTTTAAGATGAAACTCGTCCCATGCGAGATTTGAAGCAATTTTCTTTTTTCATGGCTTTATGACTTCCTTCATCATATACATCAACTCATCTATCTTCCTGTGTATCATTGTACAAATGACTTTTTCTTCTTCTTTCTTTTTTTTGATACTTTTTATTTCCTGTAATCCACTATTGTATGAGATGTATTTTTTTTTTCGATTTTATATTGGCATGATCTATGTGGAATAGCTTTCCTGTAATTTCATTCGCTCTCTTATATTTTATGATGTTTTGAAACAAAGTTTTAAGGCTGCTTTCCCTAAGGGAATTTGTGGATTAAAGGTGTGAGTGGGTTTGTAAAAAATTGACGATACAAATCAAAGAAAGTCATAAAAAGCTGAAGATTTTAAATTGCTGAATAAATTTTCAAACTTTTGGTTTAAACCTCTTGTACTTGAAAATGATTGAATTGAAGCCTGAGTCGTCTAAAAGACTACTTTATAGTCAGTTCAATTTTTTTAATTTTGCTGTCATTTCATAATCTTTAGTCATAAATATACGTAAAATGATAAAATGCTTTAATTTTGAACTTTAATATCACTCATATTAAATTAGCAAATTAAATCTTTAAAGCATTCAAATCTGTTATTTAAAATTGACCTAAAAGCCAATGACTTACAAATATTCAGACATTAAGCCACAAATGTTGCATATATTTACCTGAAAAAATAACTTCAAAGAAGAATTCTTTTGATCTGTAAAAGAAAATTTTTATTCAAAGTTTGTGGACGTAAAATATTACTTTAAAGATATTTTTAGAATAGAATAGATAAGACAGCATGTTTATGTATATATTTTTGATTTTATTTACAACACTTGACCACAATGTTCTCTGCTTTTTCATATATTTACAGTTTTCATTTAACAATGATTTAAATTTTATTAAATTATATATATATAATTTTGATAAATACCTTTTTTTGCTTTGATTAATTTATTAAATTTAACACTAAACTTCATTTTCCTATCTGTCATCAAAAATCTTATCCATGGCGATGGATTTACTGATATCAAAGGGACTCAAGAATCAAGAGGTGATGACTTTATTTTCATAGAAATTATTTTATTAGACACTATAAAGTCTTTTTTATTGCAAAAGTTTTTGCTTTTATTTTTACTATTTTCAATGCTTTTTTTTTGTTATAGATAGCCACTAAATGGAATACTTTTTATGTCCGATGTTTAAGGTTATAAGAACCAAAAAACTATTTTTATAAAAAAAATGTTTCAAAAATTGTGAATTTTTTAAAAATATTTAAACTAAAATATGGAAATGTTTTTTAAAATAATATTAAAAACATATAACACACAACATACTAAAGCGCCCTATTTATATTTAACTTTCCAAAAATTAAAAAAATAAATCATGAAAAAATTGTAGGAAAATAAAAATTAATAAAGAAATTTCCATCGTTAGTTTATCTTGATTTTTGGCACTTTTGATTATTGTATTTGAGTATATGAGTAGTTTTTGTTGAATCATTTAATTTATTTGATATATTTTTTAGAAATTTTTTGACGGAATTAAAATGATGGATGAAATTAATTTACATTTCAGTGTCGATAGATGAAGGTTAATTGAGAAAAACCTAGTCATTTTTGATAATATTCTAGTATTGCACTGAACTTACATCATGATATCGCTCAAAAACCTGCATCATAGAGATACTGACTTAAATGTGTTTAATATTAAAATTGAAACTTTAAATACAATTTAGTTCAATTAAGGCATCTCAATACAAAACCATGTGTTTTAGCTGAAGTAAGATAAAATTTAATTGCTTAATTATAGGAAATATAAATCAAATTGGTTTGCGATATGAAATTTCAAAACTTTAAAATATTACAAAGAAAATCAAATTTTTTAACAAATTTTCAACAAATTTTTAAAAATAAATTCGATGACAAAACAATTTCTCATCCAACGAGTTCCAAAAGTTTTTCATTTATTTTTAATTTTATTTTTTCTTCATAAGTTTTCAAATATTTTTCATCTATTTTCTTTTCGTTATATGAAATTCTTTAAGAAATTAATATTACGCGATATAAAGCATAAGTATGTATGATATTTATGTATATCTGTCATTTTCGTTTCTACCTTACATTACTCGCATGGATTTATGTCCTTAATGAGTTTAATATATACACGTGTGTCACAATTTTCAGTGTGCATTGCAGTTATAAATGTGTAATTATCTTTATTATGTACAATATGTAACATAAAATTAACTAGTTATATAAAGTTTTCTCCTTACGTATTTAATATCAAATGACATTTCCTTTTATCTATAAATTGGGTCGATGGTCGTGCAAAATAAAAAGGATCTTAATCTTAAAGTCATCTTCATCTTCAACAAATTTTCTCATGTCGTTCTTGGTGAGTATTAATCTTTAATTAAAGTCTCAAATATTTACAAAAGAGAGCGAGAAGAAATTGGGATAAAAAATTCATGAGTTTAATGAAACAGTCCTAAAGCATAAATTAAATGCCACCAGACGCTATTGCCGAAATGAAAAAAAAATCTTTTGCATTGCGATATTTCTAGTGGATCATTAAAAATTTATCATTTTTCGATGTAATAAAAACCATTGCTGTGCTTTTTAAGGGAAATTTTGTCAAATATTTTGGAATTTTTCGAGAGCTCCTGGATGTTGATTTGAGTCTAAATGTATAAATTTTTGTAAACTCTCACGGAACAAAATTTTCGATTCTCAAAATTCGCAAAATCTCAATAAAAAAGATTTGAAATGCTGACAAAAATTTTTTAATGAAAAGTTACGTAATAAATACTTTTTGAATTAATGTGTTAATTTATTAAGTTTTTTATCAATAACGAAAAAAGTGCTTGGTTATTCCAAATCAATTTTTAATCAGTCCACTTTTTAAAAGCTTTTAAAGGACTTTCGTTCTTGAATACAAAATATTTTTTTTAACATTCTACCGCACGTAATGAGAACTTTTTTTTGGTCATTAGATTGGATTTCATGATGTAACAAAAAAAGGAAAGAAATAAGAAATTTTCTTATTTACTCATCAGAAATTTGAGTCACAATCTTAAGTTGCATAGGATTGTGGATGGATGATGATTGATTCAAGAGGAAGTGTTCGAAAATTTTAACTCATTTTTGCACTTGCTTTTAACCTCTTTTCATATTTTATATCCAAGGATTTTAATTGTAAAAACCATTATTAATGACTAAACCATTTACAGTCAACCAGTTTCACGATCCATAAAATTATGCACTTCAATGTACTCTCAAATTCCTTAACAACAAAAATTCATCATATTAATTAAATTTAATACCATAATTAATAGGAATGGCACACCGTGTAAGGGATTTACTATAAAGTAATCGATAATAATTTAGATAAAATTACGCTAAACACGGGCGAAATGAATGATACAATTAATAAAAAGTTACTAGTTGATGCTTTGCTGCTGTTAATGAGATTCGATTGTGCGTCCTTAAAGAGTCGCCCATTACTGCCAAATATGCTTTCATCATTTTGGTCTTCACTCCGAATTGCTTCATTATCCTATATTTAAGTAGGCAGAAAAGAGAAAATTGTTATGTCATGTAATATTCAGCAGCATTTAATTACCTCGTCATTTGATCCGTTAATATCGTCATAATTATTGTAACGATTTGGCTTCTTCTTGTGCAGTTCCATTTCTGTTTAAAGCATACAAAATAAAAAGGAATGAAAAATTAGAGTTGAAATTTCAGCAGACTCTGTACATGCATAATACATGAGCCTATAAACAGATCAACGATAACATAAATAACAACTTTAGCTGCTGCTTTTTTTAGAATGAAAGAAATTTGTACATTTTATGCAGTACGTTGCTTTGTGCTTAGAAAAAAAAGGAATGAGAAATTTTCCATTTTTATGAACAAGAGGAAAAGTTTTTCTTGCAGTTTTATTGTTTTTTTAGGAGATGCGAAATTGGAATTGAATTTAAAGAGATAAAATTTAAAAGTTTGAAAGTAGATTCATGACTTTTTGATCCTTTAAGATAGATTTTTTGGCAATAAATCTTGATGTACAGCTATCAAAACTACAGTATTTCCTGTCAGTTAAAACATCAAAAATTCTGCCAGTCTTTAAGCTTACAATTCCCGGCACAAAAAATTGAAAAAACTTTTAAACCAGCAAGAAAAAAAAAATCATGTAAATTGCGGTAGTAACAATTTTTATCTTTATAGTTTCATCTACATTTATGTTCAGAATAAAGTTAAAGTGCGCAAAATAGGAAGGGAAAGAAATTGATTTTCAACCCTTAAAAGATTTTTTTATGTTTCGGGAGGCACCAAAAGGGTCAAAGTACTGAATGTATGTAATTTCTTTAAATGGGACAAAATGTTTGAATAAGAAATTTATGCTGAGTAATGCTGAAATTTGCATGATAACTTTAATGTTCACAATTCTGCAGCTCTTGTTGTCATGACGCAAAAAATATTCTGTGGTTCGTGGACAAAGGGATTAAAAGAGGGATCAAGACAGAATTTTGATGAAATTTTTTTGTTTAGAATTTTTATTTGAAACACTTTTGGATGGAGTTTTACATCCAGTAATATAAACAAATGAAAATACTAAACAACGATTTATCAAAGCATCCAAAAAAAAAAATCATATGAATTGTAAACTTACCATACAATCGTATTGTGCCCTCTGCATCTCCAATGCTGTTTTTTGAAATGCATTTATATCCACCAAAATCAGATTTTTGTGTTTTTCGTAATACTAAAGTCATTTGTACAGCATACATTGAGTTTTCTATTTCTGACATTAAGTAGCGATCATTTGAGATTATCATCTCGCCTTTTTAGATGTAAATAGTGGAATAAAGAATATAAATATATTTAAAAAAATTACTACTGAATGTTGAAGGGATTTTCAGCACTTTAAGATTGAATTTAACTAAATGGTGGACCATTTTGCTATCCCTGACTTCCACTCAATTATCATCAATAAATAAATAAATCAAGAATAAACATTCAGCACTTTTCATATGCACTCAAAATCACATTCATAAATAAATTTTCCACTTTAAATATATTCAGATAACAGCACACAACAAAAAAAAAATCGGCATCGATGAGTAAGTGAGTGCAAATATAATAAATGGCATGTGAAATTCATTATTAATTTACCATTTTCGCGCTGCCAATAATTGATGGCTTTTGGAGACGCTTCAACATTGCAAATTAACGTCACATCTGTAAGGAGAGGGGCACCCACGAGCTGGTTAGGCACCTAAAGAACATCATACAACAAAGAGCAGGAAAAAATGTTAGTCAATGAAGATTAATGAAAAGACAAACAGAATGTAAATGAATTGCTATATCTCATACCTGTATCAGTGGATGAACTGGTAGTGTATGTAAAATGCCAATCAAGGGGTTGAAAAATTGCAAACAAACAGAATAACATCGACGTGAATGAGAGAGAGAAAAAATTATGAATTGCCATGAGTATCATCATCATTTATAATCGGATTTATGTGCGCATATATATATGTTTTTCATCATTTTGTTGTACATACACGTCAACAGAAGAGGAAAAATGAATAAATCAATGCCTCATCATCACCATTATACACACATCCAACCAACATCGCAATTAAATTTCAATTTTGCTAAACGCGAACAGCAGTTAATTTATATAAATTTAAAATATACTATTGTTCGATGTTTGCTGCTGTCGCTTGTCACTGCTCCTGATGTTGAGTCAAGTGGTGTTGGACAGAAAAAAGTTTTATTGCAATTTAATGTGCTTAACGGTTTTATGAGTGCAGTTGTTAATTTTTCGTTGATTTCAAATTGAGCATTTTTTGGTGATGCTTCGTCAGAATTTGCGAGCTTGTTAGCACATAATACCAAACTTTCAAATTTTCACATGTCTTCCCTTAACCACACCCCTACAAAAAAATTTAAAAAAAATTTCAAATTTTGCATTGCTTTATAAAATAAACCTCAAATTTGAACTATTTCGGCAATTATTCAAGTACTTAACTCAACAATTGACTCATAGATTCCCACCCTCAAAAACTACGCAATCCCATTCACAAACTTTATCATTGCTAGAAATTCATAAAGCAAAAATTTGTACTACAAAATTTACAATGATACTATTATGTATTACACATAATAAGGATAAGAAATTAGTCATAATTAAACAGCATATCATAGCATGCTAGCAGAGGCAAAGAGAAAGAGAATTAAGTGAATATTTATCACATGAAGTCACCCAACTGACAATAAACAATAAAATAGGGATTAAATTATTACAAAATGAAGAGAACATTATGCAAAGTTAATATTTGTTAGGAAAAGGGAGGTTTGAAGGGGGTTGGGGATGGAAAGTTTATAAACCACTATGGGGCAAAATGAAAAAAAAAGGGACTTTCACTTTGAAAAATGGACTTTTCCGATTTACACTTTTTGGGTGATTTTTTCTTGTAGAGGACATAAAAGTAGATAGAAATGCCAAATTTCAGGCCATTTGGTGCTGATTTCGCGATTCTAGAGCTGTTTGAAGTTGAAAACTAGTGAAAATTCTGGTTTTTTCATACCATGTTTGAACCGGGAAATATCTTAACTGGTTTAAGATATTGCAAAACGGTTTTCAGTTCCTATTAGTAGTATATAAGAGCTTTATTTTGACATATAACAAAGTTTAGGTTCTGAATGTTTTCGTGCCATTATGGTAGAACATATGTGAAAATTTCAGGAAAATTATCTTCAAACAAGCCGCAACTATCATAAATGAAGAGTTTCCAGGCAAGTAAAAACGCAGTTTTGTAGCCCCATATATCTAGTTTTCAAAACTGTATAAACTTTGAAAAAGTAAGCTAACGTAATTGAGTTATGTTGATTTTAGTAGGTCGTTGAGTATTTGGCCAAAAACTAATAATTCTTTTAAAAATACGAAAACATAGTTTTAAAAATAGTTTTTTGGTGTTTTCTTATGAAAAATAACAATTTAAATGATTTTGTGAAGAAAATTTTTCAAAAACTTCAAAATCTTTCGAGATATAGGGGGTATGTGCTCTCCATCGATTTGGCCATTTGTCACCCTACTTAAACCACTATAACTTTTTTTTGAAAAAATATTTTTTAATTCTGTTTTCGGATTATTGTAGCCTAATGTAATACCTATCCAACGATATATAATACTTGCTAGTTAACTTAGTCCTGGTTATTTATAGGGCTGTTGATTGTGACATACGCAGTTTTTGAAAAATTCCCAAAAATTGCATTTTCAAAAATACCACTTTTAAGCAATCTCGAGTATTTTTTTAGAACTTTTTTATGTTTATTTATGACATTTATGAGATTATAAAGCCAAAAAATTAAATTTAGAAACTTTTTACTTCCCTAGTTAACAACTTTGTAAAGTACCCTTGGTAGTCACTATCAGGTGTGAAAATCTCAGTTTTGAAACTATTTTATATATATACTCGTGAAATTCTCTCTACACATCATATCAGTTTTGAACTTCATTGAACAAGTCACTTTCAAAAATGAACCAAAATTCAACACTTACGAAGAAAACACTCTGTGAAATTCTTCGCGACAAAACGTTAAATCTTGCAACACAGCAAGCAACTTAACTCAACAATTGACTCATAGATTCCCACCCTCAAAAACTACGCAATCCCATTCACAAACTTTATCATTGCTAGAAATTCATAAAGCAAAAGTTTATACTACAAAATTTACAATGATACTATTATGTATTACACATAATAAGGATAAGAAATTAGTCATAATTAAACAGCATATCATAGCATACTAGCAGAGGCAAAGAGAAAGAGTATTAAGTGAATATTTATCACATGAAAGTCACCCAACTGACAATAAACAATAAAATAGGGATTAAATTATTACAAAATGAAGAGAACATTATGCAAAGTTAATATTTGTAAGGAAAAGGGAGGTTTGAAGGGTGTTGGGGATGGAAAGTTTATAAACATAACAAAATAATAATTAACATTTTGTAATATGAATTTAAAAAAGACTTTTGTGCTATTTTCTTTGAGATAATTTTGTTAGAATTTCGTTCATTTATAATCTCTGCATTAAGTGTAAACGTATTTTTCCGAATTTCAACAAATATTGAATCAAAATTTGTCATCAAAAAAAGTTAAAAATCTGCCAAAATTCTCACAAAGGATATCGCCTAAGCAGAGTGCCTTAATTTCCATACAGAAGGCAGCCAAACTTTTTATTTAAACTCAACCAAGACCTGAGGCATTGTTTTCAACACAACAATGGAGTAAATTATCACTTTTCCATTGTTTTTGTGTCCCTTTTTCCTCTTCCTGTATATCCAACATGTTTGTGGTAAATGAATGGATGAATGAAGAGAAAAATTGTAGCCACGACAATAGATGAAAAACAATTACTTAAATTTTGAAACAAGAAAACAAATGACTTACAATGTACTTGAACTTTCATTCTTTTGGACACGGATGGAGGAACACTGTTTGATGCTATGCATAAATATGCTCCCATTTCAGATCTCGTGATTTTCGTGAGTGACAACATTTCACCTTCAACTTGATGTGCTGGAATTGAAATTATATCGAATGAATTTGCAAGGTAGTCATGTGGAATTGTGACACAGTTTTATGCAGGTTTCACATGATATTTTTAATTAAAATATTTCATCGTTGGAATTTGCATATTCAATGCCATAGTGTGCATCCAAATCATTATGCAACCTTGACATCATTTTAATGTACTAAACTTACATTTAGTTTTTCCATGAGGACCTGTTCTTGCGATTATTTCACGACCATCCTCACGTTTCCAAGTAATTTTGGGTTTTGGATATCCTCGAGCCTTACATACTAATTTCGCTGATCCACCTTCGGGAACCATCATGTCTATATTGTTTGAGATTTAAAAGAAAACATTTTATTTAAAATCAAATAAAATTAAACTGTATAGGCTTCCTCAGAGGCTTTATTGCAGCTTAAATGAAGGATTTTTTTCTCAAATAAATTCACAGATTTTAATCAATAAGCAAAAAATACTTCTATAACAAAAGAGCTTTTATATTACCTCCCGATGTCTCTTCATACACAATATCAGGTGGAATCACAACTTCCAAGAAAGCAGTCTGCATTTTCATCGGATCTGTATTCACCTACATTTCCCAAAAACATACCCAATATTAATTTTAAAATTCCTCAAATTTCATTTGACAATAAAATTGAATCCCAGTGTAAAAAATTTATTAATAAAAATAATCATGGGTTACCTGACACATGTACTGCCCTCGATCTTCCATTTTTACACTCTTTATGTTTAATGTCCACGTATTGAAATCATTGTGAGTGACTGAGAGACGTCCATTATTAGTAATGACATGTTCATGAATTGCCAAAATTGCTTTGGCATCAGCCTTTATCCACGCAACCTATATACATCCAATAACAGCATTAATTTATTTTGTAATGAGAGTTGAAAATTTAATTGAAACTTTTAATCATCGATGCAGAAAAATTTCTCGGACTAAAAGTTGCAATTTTATTTCATACAAAATAATCAGCATGGACTTTTCATCATCTAATTATATTGCATTGTAATTAAATTTAATTTAAGTGCAAAATAACAACAAAAATCTTTTTGTGCAAATTGTGCTCTTCCATTAAGGCATGCATCAAATATAAACGTTTCATGTGGATAAATGTTTTCGACAATCAGAAAAATATGTTCACATAATGATAACCGCTTCATGCTTTATACAATTTTCAGTGCAAATTTTTATGGCAAATGATGAGTGCATTTTGGATGAAAGCAGGGTTTAATGAATTTTTTAGAAGGATATGACATGATGATAAATTTGTTTATTTTTGTGAATTTCTTAAAAATTATTGTGCAAAAAACGACAACATCAATTGTGCATTTGTAATATTTTATATTATATAAAAATTGCGCTTCAGCCACACATCATCAATGACTCTCACACCAGCTCTCTCTCTTTCCTCTATCATTCAACGAATGAGTATGCTGGTTTTTTCTCTCTCTACACTACGGATGCACAGCAGCCACACTTTCCACATTAATTAGCTATGATTAATTATTGAATAAACATCCAGCATACGTTGATTATTGATTCACTAGTATTAAAGGTGTAGGTGAATTAGCCGATGAGGATTTTTAAGTAATGACAAAAATTCAAACTTTTTCAATTTAGTTGAATTTTTTTTTCTTAATTTTTTTTAACAATTTTAAATCACTGCATTCAAATATTTCTAGTAGCACGTTTGGTTAATCGAACGTGTCAAAATTATCGAAAATCTCTGTTGACCATGAATTATTTTGCAATAATGATTTTCACATTTAATCAAGTCTACTTTATTGTTCATTCAATAATTAAAATCACGAGTTAATTTGTGAAGCAGATGTTTATGAAATTAATAATGACATGCAGTTGAAGTTTTCAGCATATTATTGAGGTTCAATAAGGTTTAATTTCAATCTACTGTGTATTTTTTTTTCATAAGAAAGGTAACTTTAAAAATTGTAAAATATTAAGATTGATTAAATTATGATTTAAAATTATTTTTTACCAATTCCTATATTAATTCACAATAAGGAATTGCTTACTAAAAACTTAAAACTTCTAATTTTTTTTTAAGATAAAAATAATATTTGAATTTGCATCAAAAAGTTAAATTTTCAGGCGTTTTAGTTTTGTAAAGATCAAAAAAATAATCTACCAATATTGCAACATACTAAGTTCAACAACATCAATTTAACAATAATTGAAATCCATGTCGCTGACTCGATTGCGAACAAAAGTAAATAAAACAATTAGCAGGATGTATCACAGAAGGATGATTATTACACATTCATGCACTAGACAATAATAGTCTGAGGCAAATTGTAAAGCGATTATTGTGCTTAATGCTAAAAACAACATTGCAGTTGTTGTCGATGCCAATGCAGTTGTTTATGCCATTCTTTCCTCACTTCAGTGTCGTAGATTTGAATGATAGTTTCGGAATAGTATTTTTTTGTTTCCAATAGATAATTTTAAAATCCACACAGGTCCATTGAATGATGACAAGTGAGAGAATGGCACTAATCAACCGTGAAACTCTAACTGACATTAAAATACATAAAAAATATTTATTTCTACTAATTTGAGGCAATCACAAAATTTCAAATTTTCTGTTTTTGAAATGTGTTAATCTAATTTACAGCAAACGACGATGTTTGAATTTCTATTGAGGTAAAAACTCTTTGTTATTTTCAAAAGCACTACTTTACCCTTTCGATATTGTTTTGACGTTAACATTTGATCCAAAAAATAAGTTGTCAATCAGTCTCTCAAAGCAGAGTACTTCGACCGTTAATAAAAAATACGAATAGCGTCTGACTGAGGTAAAATCATAGATTTTTGCAGGTTTTTATGAAACTAAAGTTGATTTTTTTGATACATGAAAAAAGGAAGTAAAGAATTTTGTTTTCATTGAACGCGTTTTTATGCTTAAAAAACTTTTATTCTTTGTTTAGTAAAATGTACTTTTTTTGAAATATCTACATTGAAACTGTTTCAACTTTTCCCCCTTTTACTAGCAATCTATCTATCTATCCATCCATCCAGCTATAGTTAACAACTCAGATCATCATTTTTCAACAAAAAAATCTCTCTTTATTTCCAAGCTTTTTTTTCGACATTTTATTGATAGTACGTTGAATGATGGATTTTAATTTTTTAATATCAACGTCAAATATGGTTTTGGAAGGAACATAGAGCATGAATATTTTTTTTCAATGAAACTTTAATTAATGAAATTAAATTTTTTTGATAGAGAATTTTTTTATGCAGCATAAAAAACCACGGAAGACAATAAAAAAGTGGTATAAAATTTTTTCCTCTCTGTGAGCGGATTAAATAATTAATTTTTTGTTTTAAGCGCTTTGCGTTGATTGAAAGTCATGTCAGTTCTTTTATTGAATTTATTTTAATGGAAAGAGGAACAAAAAATCAATTTTTAATTAAAGATGAAAAATTTTGTGGATAACTGAAAGTTTTTTTGTTGTTCAATAAGTTAAGGGATATTGTACTTTGAATCATTAATTTAATAAATATATGTCGATGATGCAGGATTCATCCATTACAAAATTGAAACTTCATTTTTTAAATTTCACATTTTTTTTCTCCACTTTCAGATAAAGTTTCTTTGAAAACAAGTTTTTAAAAAAACTAATACATCACATATCACTAGCGCATAGCTCCCTCCTCACAATGCATTACACAGACAGTGTGTTTTCTAGAAGCCCCGCGAATAAAATTGAATTAAACAATTTTTCAATATGACTTTTTTCGGTTGAAGTATCTGCGGGGATAAAAAGTAGTGCTTTTGATGTCAACTAATTGTTTTTTGTTCAATATTTAACATCCAACTTACGATGACGATACGGATTTTTTTGAGGATTAATATTTTGTTTTCATTCCTTTGATAGAGATTTTTTTTTGTCATGAATATAGCGCCAAATTTTTTCAGTGATATGAATTTTTTTAAAAATCATAAAAAAATGCGAAACATAAAAAAGAGATGATTTTTAGATACAAAATAGTTTGTGCTTCATTTTGTGCAATAGTTAAAAATATTGTTGGTGCTGGTGCATTTCTATCTATAGATTATTTTGGTGCATATTGGTGCTCGTGAATTGTTGCTTACATTCAACAAAATATTTATTGTGATCATTTAAATATAAATTGTGCGATTCGGTGCGAATAAACTTTATAGGTGCTCTGGTGCTCAGATATATTTATATTTGGTGTAAATAGAAAAATTATTAGGTGCAGTTGATTATGTCACTAAACGACACAATCGATTATAAACAGTGAATTAAAAACAGTATTAGCATGCATTGAAAAACTGATACGTACCCTAGCAGGGGACCCGGATTCACCACTCACCCTATAACCACCTAAATTATTAACTACACATGTAAATGTCGCATCTCGTCCTTGAGCAACTGTTACATTCTCTAGTGGAAAGACGAAATCAGGCTCAAATGCTGACACTGTAGTTATCGAAGACGATGAGGGAAAAAGAAGCAAGAGAAAGGTGAAATCGTTATAACACATAAACACATACAAGACACGCTACATATAAGTAGCTCAAGATGAAATCACGACTCTAAATTTATCTAATGGTTTTATTGTCGCTTTACAACACATCGTGCATATAAAAAAGAAGAGGAAGGAAAATCTTTGTCAGAGCATCATCATACGTGATAAGCCTCTTTACTTCATTGTTTAATATATACACAAACACATAGAATCTGTAAGACGCTCCGTAAAGGCATTTCTATCATAAAAAATTCATAGGCGATGGAGGAAGAAAAAAAATTAAATAAACTTCAAGGAAAAAAAAAACGTGAAAATGATGCGATATTCTTGGAAATGAAATTCTTCATCCCCTTTTCGACTACCTTTAAGGAATAAAATTCTCATCACTTTAACTGTGAAAGAAAAGTAGACGAAAAAGAAAAGAAGAAAAATGTTGATGAAAGACAGAGCTGACAAATTACTGAATTAACTCGTGGTGAAGCCTTGAAAGGAACTTTTTTACATTTTAATAGAATAAATGTCAAGGAAGTGAAAAGTAATTAACTTTACTACTCAGATTGCTTCTATGACTCAAGGAGAAAGTTTTGTGTCTTGGAAAAACCTCAAAAAATTAATCTTAAATTCAATGTCACTTTTTGTTTTAAGGTGGAATGAATCAATCTTTCTCGTAAAGATTTGTTGAGTATTTAAATGTAAAAAGGATTTTTTTGAAGTTTTATGGGGAATCCTGAGGTTTTTGGAGAAATGTATAATTTTTAAAGAGTAATTTAGAGTGAGTAAGTGGCGCTAGTTTTTAAACACCATTTTTAGCAACAAAATTATATCTGACAATTCACAAAATATTCTCCGTCCTTTTCATGTCCATACAATTTATTCACACAGCTCTCTTTTGTCAGGATATTAAATTTTTATAATATTTTTATTGCATACCTCCTGCCTGTCCTTTTTGCCACCTTATCCATTCATTATATATTTACTCAATAGATGTATAAATCCTAAGTCAATATAAAAGCGATTTTCACATTCAAAAGGTTCCGAAAAAGGCATTTGTTACAATGGTCTGTAACGCACACATGTATTCAAAGAGCGTTCGTTTAAATAGCATCATAACGTGCTTAGGATTAAGTGTGTAAATAGACTCATTTTTTATATAGCTGAGTGGCACTCGATATCAATATAAAGGAGAATTTTTTATGACATTCCTTTCTACGTATTTATGTAAAAGAATCTCGATGAAAAAAAAAAGAAGGGACGAAGAAGGTGTCGAGTACATGATGAGACATGTGTATGGAATGTGAGGGTCATTTTCAAGTCAAAATAACAAAATGAAAGTGACTATAATCATTTTAACCTTTCGGAACACGTAAAAGAAATTTTTCAATTGGACATTTCAACGTGATTTTCGTTCACAATTTTTTTTTGTGCTCGGTTCTTTTCTTAGTTCTTTTGTACTTCTTGAGAATCTTTTTAAGTGATATATTGAAATGGATTTTTCCCAAACATTGTTTTCCAATGAATTTCAATTGATTTTTTTTTGTTGACGGTTTCTGATGTTAAGTGAATTAGAAAATTTTTTTGAGCAATTGTTATGTCTGGTTTTTTTTGAATATTAAAATCAAATTGATTCAAATATTTTAATTGATTTAAGTTAAATTGTTACCATTAATTTAACTCAAGATCTTATTAAAATATTTTACTGTATCTCATACCTCCTTAAAATAAAAATCAAAATTCATCGTAAAATAAATTCAAAAATCAAAACTTTATCTCCATTACCAATTATACAATCTCCAGACATCATATTTCACACAGAAATGATTTTAAATTCCCATTAATTACAGATTTATATTCTAATCCCTTCTCCTTAACAATTCTAAGGTGAAACATAAAAGTTCATTGAACAACTTACCGTAATCGTATTGCATTAACACTAATCCTATAACAAGTGTTGAATAAGTTAAGCATGTTGCTATGTCTCTCCCTAAACTACTCCTATATTGACGCTTCACTTTGAATTTACACCTCGATTGTATCATCATTTCTCGAACATTCGTGAGGGTGATAATTGCTAGCTGTTTAATTAATTATTCAATCCGAATAATTTGTAATTTGATGATTGCTGTGTAATCCTTAATTTATGTTCTTAATCTAACATCAAATCTTGTATCTTGTTCTCACCCTTGTTCCTCTCGTTGTCTGATAATGCTCTTTAAGAACTTTTACCCCAAAAAATATATATGTTAGATACGTGAATACACAAAAAAAGTTGAAAAATATCGATTTGATTATTAGTTTGCTCGTTAGACTTCAACTGCTGCCAAATAGAACCAAAAAAAGTTTCCTACAGATGTATAGAATTTTTTTCCTTCAGCTCCTTTATCGCATCGTCATCTGGAAGAGAAGTTAAAGAAGAAAAATAATAGAATCATATAGGAAAAATTATGAAAGTAAGTGAGTATGTGGTTGTTGTGTGTGAAGGTTGCTCGAAAGGGATGGTTTCTGATAAAAGTTTTGTTGTTTTTTCTAAGTTTGTTTTATCTATGATTTTTGGATAGTTGGAGTCGTTTACTTTTGCATTTTGAGTGGTGAATCTGCTGTATTCTTTGCAATATATTGTCATTTTAAAAGTTAATTGTGTGATGACGCTTAGTCATAATATATTATATAGAATTGAGAAACAAAATGCTTCAATGGTTGCTAATACGCCATTTTTAAGAAATTGTATTAAAAATATTATTTTACTTTTACAAGGCTTAAGCTTGCATACATATTATTTGACTGTCAAGTAGTGTCTAGCCATGACAGCATTCATAAACCAAAATGATTAATCACCTCTAAATCCATACAGAAAAATGCGTCACTATACCTACATGAAATAACGCAATACGGACTTTTGTAATATTTTTTTGTTGTTGGACAATCGACAACATTGTAAATGTTCTCCTATATTCCCAAAGCCACTTTGCAACATGCTGTTTTTCGATTTGAACAAACATCCATGCATGGTTGAAAGTAAGGAGGAGGATAAAACAAGAAAAAAACTAAAACTTTTTCGATAGCAATTTATTCACGATTCACCGCAGCATGTGTGTCGGGATAGGAAGGCAAAAAAGAATCATAGATTCATGAATGAAAGTTTCAAATAAAGTGAAATTAATTTCATCCATTCTGTCTTTTCCAGTCTCTTTTTAATTTAATTAACGCTTGTCTTGAGATGCTCGTATATTGCAGAATCAATATGAAGCATCCGCATGCAATGTGAAAATTAAATTAACTTTTTTATGTGATCAAATATTTATTTAGTCATTCACCAAGTCAATTTCAATCATCATTTTTTATTTTCTTTTCTCCTTCCTTCAAATTCCTTGTCTGTGACTGTCATATCACCATCAAAATGCCAAATTGTATAGTAGGAGGAATGAAAGATGACACAGACATAGATAAATGCCAAAAGCAAATATTGAGGACATTGGTTTCGATATACATACATTTTGCTACAATATGGATGATATATTTGCAGAGGAAGTGCTTGAAAAGTTTGCTTCAGATTTTTTTATCAATTAAATTTCAAAATCTTCTATAAAAATTTCAACTTTAGAAAATGAAATATTTTGTTATAATTTTCACGGAAGGGAACAGAATGAAAATTCCAATCCAGACTAAATGACTTTAAACCACCCCCCAGTCACTCAATAAAAATATTTTCTAAATTGAATAAAGCCCATTGATAATTTACATCCATATAAGTCATCAACACGAAAGCCATTTAAAAAACCACAGAGATGCTCAGTCATACTTTACCTCAAAACTCAACTGCAACCCAGAAAAACATTTTCAATTACAAATCACACACATTCATGACTTCCGTTTTTATTACAATATGCAGTAGGAGTAATAAGAGCAATAATAATACAAATTTGCACAATGCAGTTATGTAGTTGAAAGCAATAAATAAATTCAGGGAACATGAAATGGTTTCGAGAAAGAGAAATGGAATGAATGGGAGGAAAGGGAATGGCCATTTTTAGGCAAAGCAAAAATAATTATAAAATCTCGCCCTGTACATAAACACTGTAAGGGAGAACGAATGACAAGTGAAGCCTTTTTGCATTTGTAGTTTTTTTGGTCTCTTTATTGTGGATGTTTTGTAGTGAATTGCTATGTAATTAAATGCAGTTTGGAATGATTTTTATAAAATTCTCACATGCTTAATCTTCTAAATAAAGAATCTTACTGAATTTTAATAAAATGTCTTGCTAATCGAGAGAATTTTATCACCAAAAATGCGATATGAGAGATCCAACAAAAAATTATTCATCTAATTCAAAGTCATTCATGCAAATACTATCGTAATATTTTGATATCAAAAGGTTTATTACAGCGTTTATTCCTGATAATGCGCTTTAAGTCTCAAAACTTTGGCAAAATTCCTCTGCTCTCTATCATAAATGAGGTTTCTATCCCAAAACGAGTTGAATAAAATTACAATTTATTGTGGCTATAGGACCACTAACAAAACAACAACACATGAGAATCTAAAAAAAATTAAAATAATTTCTTTTTCGAATGTTTTTGATTTTGTTACATTTCGAAAAACATCTGAAAGGCGGAGATATTTAAATATGCAAATCCATTTCTAGTCTCATTTTTATCCTACTGCATTTTGGACAAACAGAACATTTGTTTTATGAGGATGGAAAAAAATCATGATGAAAACATTTTTGCAATGAGCAAATGTTATGCAAAAACATCATGTTTTGCTTTCCTGAGAGTTAATTTATGAAATTGATTCTGTGGTATTTGGATGAAATTTTTGTAAAACTCTGATAAAGTCACAGTTAAGCTTCAATTATAAAAGTCAGAGAAAAGTTTTTGTGTTTAAAATTATGTTGATTAAAGTTATTTTGTTGATAAATTTTATGCTTAATTTTAGATGCAATCGCAATTTCTATTATTACGGAATTTTTAATTGATTATATTAGATTTAAAAAAAATAATATCAATCCTTATCCGATGACCTTCATTAGAATAATTTCCAAAATATATGAAAACAACAGATCTGGATGAAGTAAACATTAACCAAGACCAAAGCATAGTTAATCTTCAATTGTTACAATTTAAGCAAGAGATTTAACCAGTCTATAATTCACTGTAAACATATTCAACACAAAAATTCATTATTTTTCATGTTTTGAAATATTTCTGCCCTTTTTATAATTAAAAAGCAGATTTTCAACGGAATTTACTTCACTTTGTGAATATTAATATTGTTGATGTTCCGTATCTTTTTCCATGAACGTCTGAAAGTGAATATTATGGAAATGAACTTCTAACTTGGGTTATGTATTCATTTTAAATGCCTCATTTTTGGCTTTTCCCTTCTTCTCCTCCTTTTTAACAACTCGTCTGTGCTAAATGGAGGAAAAAATAAGAACATTTGTAAATTTCTCAAATTCACTTCCTTTCAACAATAAACTAAATAGATAGATGAAGTGGAAAAATGTGAGCACTTGAAAATTACACACATATTTTAATTTTATTCTTCTAGCAGGAAGAAACTTAAAATAAATTTCATTTCATTAATTTTATTCTTTCCTCTTTCACTTTCTCTCGTTCAGTTCACTTTTTTTCCAGCTAGTAAGTGGAATGAGCTGAACAGTTTCCAACTGAAAATGTTCATTTGTTTTGGAAAATAAGAATAAAAGGAAAATTTTGACGTTTAGTGTGAGAAGAGACTATCTGTTTCAGCATTTTCTTCTTATTTTGTTACAGAATGAAAAGTAAGACAGTCAAAGGTGATTGATTTAGAGTTTTGGAACGCATTCAATAGGGTTTGAATAAAAAACAATTCTTTGGAAGCTACTTAATATTTGATGAAATTAACGAGTTTTCAAGCTTAATATCACTGTGGATTATAAATGATTCAATTTTTTCTTCAATTACCAGAGCTCGAAGTTTATAAAATTTTGTATGGAGTCGAGTCGACTCAGAGTCGACGTCGAGCTCTTCAATTTCTCTTACTTAAACTTTTTTTTCATTCAAACTTAACATTTAAATCATAAAAAATATCAAAGTTTTTTCCTATCATGAGTTTTTTCCAAATAGACAAACTGCTTTATATTATCTCAAAATCTCATAGCAGTGCCTTCCAAAAAGATACCAAATACCATATTTATAAAAACATTCCATTCTATTTTCTATATTCAACCCTGTGGCATAAAGCTTACACACAATAAATAGCTCAATGTAACTCGCCAGCATACTAGTTTCTCTTTCCCTTACTATATGCTGCTACTGTTAAAAATGGATTTTTCAACGCCTTCCACCAAAAGTGCTATTAATCTTTTAACAGTAAAGGAATGCTAGCTCACAGGAATTTCAGAAATTGCAAATTATTTTACTTTTCTATCTCCTTTCAGAATGTTCATTTTTTAAAATGAAAGAAGGAAGCAGTTCAGCGACAGTTACTTTGTTTTTATCTTTATTGGCTTGGATAGTGAAATTAAGGGAATGAAAATAAATATTTGGATGTTACATAGGAAGTTTTGTAGATTTTTTGCTTATACATCGAGGAACTGAAATTTTGACTTACATGTATAAATAAATCCATAAAGTCAAGTATTATTCCACCACAATCGTTCATCGATTTTCATTTTTCTTGTCGTGATTTAAATAGACACAATGTGATAAATAAAGTCGTCCTTGAAACAAAAACGTCATTTTCAATTTCCATATAAATTTTTTTCTCCTGTTTTTCTTTTACTTTTCAACAACAACGTTGAAATGAAAAATGAAGAAGGAAGAAAATTCACAAAGTGAAACATGCAAGGTGATAAAAGACGATGAATATAAAACTCTTACTGTATAGTTCATAAATTTGAAACTATTTCCTCCGTAAAAATTGTTTTTTCCTTTCCTCATTCCATGCACTTCGACTTTTTTTGCTTGCTTTTCCACACGAAAGAAAAATGTAAGAAAAATAAGGAATGAAGCACAAGTTGAGGGAAGAAAAGTGGAAAAAGCAACAAACATGTCATAAATTTAACAATAAATGTATTTCGAGAAATATGTATTGCTGCAAGTATGCTTGTGATACACTTATGCTACTTATGTGCTTGTAAAATATTTAGAAAATGCGCTTAAAGTATCAACACACAATTCATTCTTCTGTTGTGTGCATTAGAATTTATTGTAGGGGGAAAGTGACTATAGAGAAGTATTTTGGTGCTTATACAAATCTTTTTTAACAATTTTCCAATTATATTTTAATATTCCTATCAACTTGAAACAAGAAAAATCAACATAGTGAGTCAGTGATTCCCCAATACCAATACTAAAGTTACCAAAATTACTTCCATCAAAATCAATATTCCCCCTTGAAAATGTTTCCA